GTCCAGACCTGTTGTATATTTTACGAGCAGTCAGTCTGCTGTTTTCCAGACGGGTTTTCTTTATATTTCGTTATTTAGAAAATATTTCGAGTTAAAAATAAATCACATGTTGACAATAGTTTATTCTGTTTGAACTGGAATTAGATTTTAATGGCAAATCGATTAGATTAAGTTAAACTGTCTTTTAATGCTGTTGTACAACACTACAATGTTAATATGAAGATCACGAACTAAAAAAACAACTTAAATAATGCATTAATTGAAGTTTGGAGATGTTTTAAAATGCGTCTTTTCAGAACCGCATCTGTCACTTGCGACCGCCGAGAGGGGGTAAATAACCTCTCTGCGTGCACGAGCAGCTGGATACGAACAGGTGGAATTTACGCAGCTCATTTACACACTTTTCCTGAAGATAGAAGAGTTTGTTGAATCTGACGTGACATGTTTGTACGAACCCTTCGTACGAACAAAAGTAAGAGAAATTTAGGATAAGAATACGAACATGTTCTTGCATGAGGCCCCAAGTCATGGGCAGTAAAGAGCAGTTTGTAGTTTTAGTAATTTTTTTATTCTTAGTAATATTTAGATTTTTTTCATTCATAACCACAGAGACAGTCACTGTTGTTTTTTAAAATTTTTTTAACAGAAAACAGGAAGAGTGATGGAGCACAGCCACTCAGGGGGAAGGGGGGGGTGAGGGGTTTCTACTTGACAAAACACATGGTTCCACCCACGTGACGTGATGACATAACTCATTTAAAATCAAATGGCTTAATGAAACATACAAGTTCTCAGCCTTTTATCCCATCTTTAATCCCTGAGTTTTATCATTTTTGCTATCTTGTCAGCCGTTTTCTTTTGCTCGTAATAAATAAACTTTATTTTTTGAGCGCTTCATGCCAGTCTCCATTGTTGGGTCCTAACCTCCTACCACTTAGAGCTGCCTACATTCTACAGCTTTGAACTAACACATGTAAACTAATAACGTAGAGGCAGGTTTGCCTGTAAACACAAGCTGTGTCTCCTTGTTTTGGGTTCAACTTTGTTAGTAGGTCAGTAATTGACTGTGCTGGAGGCAACATTTTTTTAAATTACTATTTTACTGTAAGTGTTTAATTTCATATCAAGAATTCTGACAGTTGTTACCAGGCTAATGTTCTAGTCAAGGCAATTAGCAAGACAAAAGCATTTTTCCTCAAGTCAAGACAACATTTTGACCTTCTAATGGCTTCCAAGGTGTCAGTTTTCCAATCATTTTCTATGTCTCAACATACCACAGCGTTTTTGGGGAAAGATTTTGCTTACACAGATGCTGGTGTGATATATTTATTTGTCTGACTCATCAATACAAGCTCTCGTATCACCAAGAGAATGACCCTTTTGGTGCTGCGATGTTACTAAATATGTGTTTTCTCCTTGTCTGTGTTTGTGCCTGTCTTCGTCTGTCTGTGTATGCCTGCATGACTGCATGTCTGTGTGTTTGTGTGTGATTGTTTATGTATGCGTGTGCGTGTGTGTTTACAGCTCCAGCCAATGCCCAGATTGTGCACTCCGGTGCGGCGTGTAACGTCAAGGACGATAACATAAGCGAGAGAATTTACACCATCAGAGAAGGGGACACACTAGTGCTTCGGTGCATTGTTAAAGGACACCCACGACCACAGGTAGGCCCCCACCACACCTGCTGAGCAGGTATTGCATGTGTGCAGTGTTCCAGGTGTGTTCATAGTGATGATTCTTGATAGGTGCAGGTGAGTTCAGAGGTTCTAGCCATTGATATAGATTGGGCGTGGCTAGCGCGTTGCTAGCTACATGGATGTTCACACACTGGAGCTCTGTTATGCATTGAGGAGCTTCAACAAAATGAATGGATGTCAATGGACTGTGAGGTGTCTTCCTGATGAAAAACTCTTATAACTTCCTTATTTCTTGCTCAGTTTTTACAAACTAAGGTTCAAAGTGAAGCTGAGGAAATTGTGAATTTTATATTTATGGAAATTTAAAATAGATAACTAATTAAAATGACTACAACAGTGGATTTAACTGAGTATTTTGCATTTCACAGGTACTTTTTTCATACACATCAATGAGTTCCGACCAGCTGGCCATTCATACATTTATTTATTAATCAGAACCGAGTCTTAGAC